TTGTCGACGCTTTTAAGGCAGAACAGCCGTGGGCAACTGGTAGGGGGTGCGTGTGCCCCCCCCCCCCGGGCCGGCGCCTCCCCTGACGCCGTTGGCAGGGCTGGTGCCCTCCTGAGGGGCCGCGGCCGTTGGCGGCTTCTGCCCATGCCCCCTAGATTCAGGAGGCGCCAGTCGCTCACAAATACAGCCTCCCCGCACTCGCCTCAGGGACTTCGCGTGAGCCAGCCTTCGAGCTCCCTCCACGCTACCGTTGAGGGCGATGGTGGCCGAATTCAGAACAAGATCTAGCTTTTAAGAGTCGGCCGTGGTGATGGGCTGTGCAAACGTATTAGCAGACAGCATTTTGCCTGACCTCTTCCCAGAGATCAGGGCCAGATCCAGGAAAAGGCTCTGGTGTCTAAAGCAGCATGTAGGTGGAACTGAGGTGCCGAAGTCTAAAAGTACGGTGCAAAAAAACCCCTCCATTAAGCCTCCGAGTAAACCGAGAGGCAGCTGAACTCACCTGTTCTTCCTCAAGATCTGCTTCTGTGTATACCCCGAACTGCCTTCAGTCCAAATAGCTCGGTACCCGTCTCCAAGCAAGCACTCGCAGGATCCAAAACCTCATCGTTCCTCTACTTAAGTCCCCCGGGGGTTCAGTAGATGGGCTCTGAAGCACACCCTGCCAGGACTGGATGCTGTAATAGTGGCCACTCTTACTGCAAACCCAGATAGTGGGACATGAGCTCATGAAAACTTATGCTATACCCATCTCTAATTTAATTAGTCTAAAAGGTGCACATTTAACATGGCTAACTATGTCTCTGTCATCACTCTGCCCATCACAGAACTACAGAAATGGTTCTGGTTGGGCCCTAGGTGTTGTTGTAACATCAGTAGTCGAAAATCAGGTGAACTCCCATCTTTATATGTAAGTGCCTAGTGGTTAGAGCTCTCCCATACCCAATACTGTTCTAACTCCACATCTCCCACTTCCCAGGAGAGTGGCCTGGGCACAGTGAGGCTCTGACTCAGGCTCTGCGCGAGGCACAGGGGGCATTGCCCACAATTCCTGTTGAAGCCCTGCCATCATGCAGAAAAGTATTCAAAATTCCTTGGGCCAGAGACCATGGCTCTGTTGGGAGGTGTGAGAGCTGGATTCTGCTCTCTCCTCTCCGGCCTGTTTAGGCATTTTTCTAGCAACCGCTGCATATAAAATACCATGTCCAAACTAGGGAAGTGCCCTTGTTTTTCAACTCTTGTCCAGTTCAAAACATAAATCCTATTGTAACCTGGGCGGTACTCCAAGAGGTACCCCCTCGCCCATTGAAAGGATCAAAGCAGGTGCACAAGTGCTGTGGGAGGTGTAGGGACTCTCCTCCCCCTATAGAGCAGAGACAGACCACCAATGGGGACTTAACCATATACCTTTTCATACTGGGAACCTAACAGGCATAAATCAGAGGGTATAGTGGACACTACAATGCCCCAAGCAGGCAGGATTCAACACAGGTTAGCACTTACAATCATTGAGAAAAAAACAGGGTTAACAAAATATAAAACACAAACAGCAGAACACACAATACAAGTTGGTGAAATATAAAAAAGGTACAAAATACAAAATGTCAAATGACAAGGAAATGTAGGGCCCTGGTACCTGGAGGAAAACACAATGGCCCCTTTCCACTGCAAGATTTACTTCTTGTTAGCTCACTCACCCCAAGTCACCTCAGCAGGGACTTGAGCCCAGATCTCCCACATGGTAGGCAAGAAGCTGCCACACACCCACCACTGGTGGCACTGCTCCAGCCTGTTAGGGGTCTTGACCTTCCCGGAGCCCTGGCCTCATGTTTAGCTGCCTGGGCTCTGATTGGAGGAGCTGGAAGCAGGGCTGGGAACCTCTCAGGTTGCTGCTCAGATCCTTGTTGGAGCTGGGGAGCCTCTCCTGCTGCCTGCAGCCTCTCCCAAGGGATCCTGGAGCCCAGTGGGGATCCTCTCCTGCCGGCCACTGCTGAGGGTACCACTGCTGCCTGCAGGTCCTGCTCTTTCAGGCTCTTCTGGGGTACTGCTCCTACCCTGCTGGCTCAGCTCTTGCCAGCTCTGTGAAGCTCCTTCCTTGTTGCCCCTCACTGGTCTCTCCTGAGTCAGCCCATGTTGCCCCTTTTATCCCCCTATAGGTAACCCAAGGGGCCAACCAGGGGACACGGGGAGTGAGTCTCTGGGGCCTGATTGAGGCAGAAAGGGAATCCCAAGTCCTCCAATCATCTTTTACCCCTTCAAAACCCCTGGGCCAAATCATTACCAGATTAGTGAAGAAAGGGAATCCCAAGTCCTCCAATCATCTTTTGCCCTTTCAAAACCCCTGGGCCAGGGCACTGCCAGCCAGCCCGTCACACTATGATCAGAATCTGCAGTCTCACTCGATTGCCCTGGGCACAGCTCCAGTGCTGAGGGAGATGGGAGAATGAAAACAGGGGTATTACTTACCTCTCTGGATCCTGGAGTGAATCTTTCGTGTAAGTTAGAACAGGCCTATGCTCCACTGTCAAGAGTTGTAGCGGGCTGTTCTTTCAAATGGGGATAGTCAAACACACTGGCAGGTCCCACAGAAGCAGAAGATGGGATCTTGCTCAGTGTGTTCTGCATATTGGACCCTGATTCCTCCACCCACAACTAAAAGTAAAATTAGGTATTTATGAAACATCCTGAGCTGATAGCTGGGGTCATGACATCCACCAAGCCAATGAAGAATTACCAAAGTCAGTTCTCCCAGTCTCTTTTAAGTGAAATTTCAAAGGTACCAATTAGTGTCAGGTCTTTGGACCCATTCCCACCTGTCCCCAATCTTGAAATCCTGCTTACCCCACTGTGACAATGATCCTATTAACTTCAGTTGAACTGCTAAGGTGAGTAAGGCACACAAGCAAGATCTCCTTTTGGTTTAGAATCTGAGGACTATTAGCATGCCAAATAGGTGCAGTTAGCAACACGAACGTGTTTGCTTCTAGAAATCTTTCAGATAAGTTGTGAAAATAGCACTCTACGCTGTGAATTTTGTTATGGTATTTTTCACTTAAGCCATTTGGAGGGGCCTTGCTTGAAATCTTTGATAGATTGTAGTGCATGTGCTAATAAGCCCACTATGGAAAACTTTTTGGCTAAGATCAGATGTGACCGGTTTGGGACTTGAGACCAGGGTTCTCAGTTCCTATCTTTGCCACAGGCTTCCTGTGTGATCGGGCACAAGTTACTTAGGGCCACATCCTTTTAGCCACTGGAACAGTACTGGGGCACCCAAGTTCTTCCACCCTGCTCAGATCCGTGCAAAACTGATATGGCAAAAATATGGGTGGGTTGTCTTCTTCACTGCTTTTTGTAACTTAGTCTTAAGGCTAAATTGGAGATGTTTACAAAGGTGGTCATTCTAACACTTTTCCAGGGACTCGAGCAAGGTGGAATCACGCTGAAGTACCTCAGTGGTACTTGGAAGCCTACTGGAAAGGCCTAGATAGAATAGGATCTGGCCCTTGCTCTGTCAGTGCTTGAGTCCTGTAAAATGGAGATAGAAGCATTTTCTCCATTTTATGGGGAGTTAGTGAGGATAAAGGCATTAAAGATTCAGAGGCACCTGGTTACTACAGTAAGTTCCTAAGATAGGATATATTTTGGAGTTGGAGGGGTCAAGCAAAGAAAGCACTATATGAAAATCTACTGCTAGCTTCAAAAGAAACTAGAAAAACATTTCAAAAGCTCAACATTAGGATGAAACCTTTGAAACAGAAATAAGTGAAAATTAAAATTATTGATTCAGTCTTAAAGTCTGACTTTATCATACTTTGGGGACCATGAAGCAAAGAAATTTCAAGATCTTTATAAAACAACTTGAAGAAATTAGATTAGAAAAGCATGAAAAGACTTCTGAAAAGGCAAAACGAGAAGTATCACAGTGGAGAGAACGTTTGTATCTGCTTAATATTAAGTACATTAGCCCCATTGGCTTCAACTGGCACTACATACGTGCTTAATTTTAAGCATGATTTGCTGAAGCAGGTTTGAATTATACAC